TGAAGCATCACAGACTAAAATGTTTGAGTCTTTACTGCTCTTCATGTTGGATCACCTGTATAATATATCGGTGTTTCCTTCTGAGGGACATTTTCCTGTATCTGTCCCCTCACCTCAACAGTGCTAACCAACTGCGCCCCTTTGCAGTCCCAAATCTGGTTTTATATATATATATATATGTATTACAAATTCTCATTGTAAAGCTTAACTGTCCCAAATTGGATCCCAATTTTAAAATGCTCAGCCCACAAATATTCAGTCCAGAACCACTGCTGAAAATAAACTTAATTTGAAAAAAAAGAAATAAATCATTACAAATATAATATCAGAAAATATTTGAGTGAAAATTTGGATCTCTGAAAAATGAGCATGAATTTTAAGTCAAGCCTTATTTATAAAGCTTGTTTAAAGCAACAGTTGTTGAGTCAAAAAGCTTTACAGTAGAAAAATAAGACTGGCCCTTATGAATTAACCTATCAAGTTTAAATATTGAGGTTAAGACCCTACAGTGATATTGATGGTGTGAAGTTATCTGAATAATTTAAATATTAAAGAATGAAACCCTATTAAAGGCTATATACAATACAAATTGACCTTAGGATAGTAAATAATGGGGCTAAGACCTTACAAGATTGCTAAATATGAACATTAACCTGACTAATTTAACTATATAAAGATAGTAGTTAAGGTAGTCATGGCTAGATTTAAAACATACAAGAGAACAAACTTCAACAGCAAAAGAGTAAAAGGGAGAACTAAATGAAATCTGAAATTTTAGAATCTTTGGTATGTCCCCATTTGGCTTCAAATGCAAATTCAAATCAAGTTGCTTGGACTCCACAAGTTTTTGCAAAACCTGATTACTCCTGTTATCCCAGCATGACCTGACAATGTTTCAAAGTGCTTTCTATAATGTCAAAAAAAAGAAAGAAAATCTTGGCATTATGAGTCCACAAGTGCCCCCATAAATGTTCAGTGAGGTTGAGGTCAGGTGACAGCAGGGGAAAGTCCATGACAGTCAGCACTCCTTCTTTTAGTTTTTAAATAGTTCTTTCATAGCTTTGAGGTGTGTTTGCGTTTATTGTCCTGCTGCAGTATGAATCATTCTCCTGAAAGTTGAAAATCAAAAGGTGAAGCACATTTGTAAAGACGAGAGTTCTACCTGTCCTTGCTCAGGGTGGAGCTGATTCAGTGGAGTTGTCCGACTCCAGAATGAGCAAAAGACCCCAAGACCTGAAATGTCCTCGCCACTGTGTTTCACTGTAGGTTTGATGCACGATGGTATCATTCTCTCGCCCATTCATCTTCTAATATTTCCTCAGTTACTGCCATAAATCTCAATCTAGGCTTCATCAGTAAAAAGGACTCTCTGACAGCCATCCGATGTTAAATGTTGGTATGTCTTAAGTCACCCTAAGCATTTCTTCCCTCTTCTTAAAAGTGGTTTAGAGCCGGCTCCTCTGAGACTCCTACTAGACAGTGTTCTCTTTACAGGACTTTTGATAAATGGAGTCTTGGGTTCTTTATTTAACAAATTCTATATCTGTGATGAAGTGGCTTCTCTCCCTCCCAGTGAACAAAGCTTGATGTATTGATCGGTGGTCACTTTTGGTCTGCCTGATCCTGCTTTGGATACACCGGATCGAGTTTCTGCAAAGTATTTTACATTGCCCTGCATTGCCCTCTTCGAAAAAACCTTCAGTCTAGCCACGATTTAATGCTGAGAAAGCTGCTCTTTTCTTAGAATAACAATCTGACTTCTGACACTTTCACTTAGTTCAGATGCTATGTTTACCACAATGCTACTGAGTGAGCAACGCTCTGCAGGAAGCTGGAACAGTCATATTTATATAAAGTGCTGCAAGCTGATTTGTTTGTAAAAGACATTCACCTGAGTGTCATCTGATTGATACAGTCTCACATGTTGTGTTAAGCTGTTAACATAGTAAATGCCAAATGAGCTTGAATTTAACAGCTGACCTAGTAAAAATATTTCCTCCTCATTTGTGCACTTTCCTCTTGTCCAATCCAGTAATTTTCAGGGAGAAATGCTCTTCTTTTTACTGCACTAAACTGATTCGACAGCTGTATTTGCAGATTAGGATCTTGAATTTAAATCATATGTTAAACTAATTTTTTTTAAAAGAACAAAAACATCTATTTAGCCTTGAAAGCATTCGCTATTTTTGACTTTAAGAAAATTTTGTTGTTATTACATCTGTCATTTTAATCAAAGATCACCTCAGACATTGTTTAAGACATGTTTAAAAAAACATTCTCTGCTCTAGGTGTTAAAATATCCTTGATTTTGTGCAAACTGAAATTAGATCTACTCCTTCTTTGTTGAGAAATCCAGAATCTTTGAATGTGCAAATAATGCTCATTGCACTGGTTTAATTGCTGGACACTAGATGTCTCCTGGAGGCTATAAGCTTCTGCATCATACTGGTGAAGGCTGAAAATTGCACCTTGATGTGACTGGCTTTAAAACTAGTTGCAATGTAGCAGCTTTATCTTGTTTTAGACTGTGATTTTTAGACTTAGATTTAACATGTGCACAGAGACATTTTCTTCCTTCGGCGGGTGAATTTGAAGTGTCATACTCTGCATATATGTGATTCTGCACAACATCGCTCAATACGTTAAAGACAATAACCAAAATGCATTTCAGGGTGGATGAAAACTTTAAGTAACATCATCAATGTTTAAAGCAAGGGGCAGCATCCATCAATTTAGCCTCTTAGAGGAACATAGATTTAAAAGTTGGAGCACAATAATCAAAACTGTCAACAACACAGTAACCTAAACTTTTTTAATTTAATTTTAAGTAAAGAGCATCTATTTTTCTAAGTGATTATTTTATATAACTGATTAAAAGAACAATTTATTCATCTTAATAGGAATATTATTTGTATTATCAATTAAAACCAAGCTGGAAAAACAAATTAAAGAATAAATGAAAAGCAAATTGCTATTAGTGTCGTTGTTAATTTCCCAGAATTTCAGTACTGCAAGCTTCTGTGTGTGTTATTTATGCAGTTTGCAGTCACTTTATTGCAATCTATTGGGTTTTTTGCGATATAATTTAGCAAAAAAAATAATCTAGCATTCAAGTTATCCAAACTGAACACTAACCAAAGTTTCCACTGCAGTTTCTACATGTAGTGCAGTAATTTCTCCTCCTGAACTGTAGGTGGCGCCAGGTTTAGGTGAATCGTAACCAAAGAAGAAGAAGAGGAGGAAAGAAAAGCCTAAACGTAGAAGAAGAACTCCGCTGTTTTTATTATTCCCTGTGTCCGCTGGATGATGTTACACGGCATCCCGTTACCACTGCTCCTCTAGGACAACTTTCACCGAGAATAACTTTACATATATGTATATTATTATTATTTATAAGTAAGAAAACGCTACCTTCATGTGTGTGCTGCAGTGACAAAGGTAGGAAACTGCTTGGATATTTGCTGCCTGCTCTGAAAACACTGACACGTATGATGACATGTTGGAGGCAGCAGCTTGACTGTTTGCTGGGTGGAAGTTAAGGCTTGTTAGCTGCATGTTTGTTTGTTTTTTAACAAGGAGTTACTGTTGCTGTTGGCAGAAGAGAAAGTGACTAAAGCATGTCTCTGTTGTTTTCCTCCCTGCAGATGGCAGGTAGGAGCAGGCTGCTGCCCTGTGCGTGTCTGGGGCTGTTTGGTGTTCTGTGCTGGGTCTGGGTCTCCTTTGCCTCCTTTCCTGATGACCGGCTTCACCTGGAGACCCTGGACGCGGTGGACCGGGGAGCTTTCCAGCCCCAGAGTGCTCTGTCAGACATGGAGTTTGCCTCTGTCGCTACCTACAGAGGACCTGGCAACGCTGACCGCCGCAGTAACAAGGAGCTGCCCATTCTCCTCTGGTGGAGCGGGGGGCTGTTCCCACATTTTCCTGGTGACACTGAACGCATCGACTGCTCCACGTCCTCCTGCCTGGTCACAAGCAATCGCAAGGTACCAGAATGAAGCGTTTGGCACAGACAGATGAATGATGCATGCACACATTAATTATATTTAGCACCCCAACTTGTCCTGCTGCTAATTTGCGGTTTGATCTTGAAAGGTCCAGCTGTACAAGCGGACAACATCCATCATCTTTTATGGGACAGACTTCAGGGCATATGAGGCACCGCTCCCTCGTCTCCGCCACCAGACCTGGGCGCTGTTCCATGAAGAGTCACCCATGAATAACTACTTCCTCTCTCACGGACCAGGAATCCGGCTGTTCAATTACACCGCCACATTTAGCAGGGAGTCGGACTATCCTCTGACCCTGCAGTGGCTGCCCTCGCTGGAATACCTGCTGGAGCCTGTAGTCGTGCCCCTGGAGGAGAAGAACCGCCTGAGGAGGGAGGGTCTGGCTCCTGTGCTCTATATGCAATCTCACTGTGACGTACCGTCAGACCGAGACAGATACGTCCAGGAGCTCATGAAGTACATTGAGGTAGAGTACAGAGAGGCTCTTTTAGATTTTACTGCACAATAACCAAAGTAAGGGATTTTCTAGTTACAGTAAGTAAGGATAAACAAAATTCTATAACCCACATGATGTAGACTTGTTGCTAATTTAGATACAAATGGCTGCTCATGTGGAGAGAAGTTTCTGACAGACCTTTTGCAGATTTACATTTTTATTTATGAAAGGAGTGGCAATAGTGCCGTTTCGTAGTGCAGAATTAATTTTAATCTAATTTCCTAGATTACCTTTATGGCTCTGTTTTGCCTCTGTCTGCTCTACACAGATGTTAAGACATATTTTTTCTTGGTGTTAAAAACCATTAACAACAGTATCCTTTCTTTTGAACCCCACAGGTGTCACTGCACCGAAAATCTCTAAATCAGACTCTCACTTGTTTCTGTTCACACATCACACAGCACGTCAAAATTGTCGATCTTTACACTTGCAACTGCTGCAGCACCTCTGTAAATGCTTCGTCAATACAGCCCTCGGTGGAATAATTGTGAATTTCCACCAGGGAACGAAAGCTTAGAGTTCAATTAGCAAAGTCTAATCGTGTTAAATGTGTGTCTCGTAAATAGTCTCTTCCCAATTGCGTTCTAACTCTGTCCCCGTCTTTGTCACACATTACTTGTCTTTCTGTAGGTGGACTCGTACGGGAAATGCTTGAACAACAAACCTCTACCTCAGCATCTGGAGGACACAGCCACTGCCACTGGCGAAGAACCCAAATTCATGAATTTTGTTGCGCGCTACAAGTTCCACCTGGCACTAGAGAATGGCCTGTGTCCAGATTACATGACAGAGAAGCTGTGGCGGCCTCTCCATCAGGGCTGTGTGCCCGTCTATCGAGGCTCCTCGGGGGTGGCAGACTGGATGCCCAACGATCACTCTGTGATCATCATAGATAACTTCCCCTCACCGAAAGCTCTCGCTGACTTTCTCAAACACCTCGATGAGAACGATGATGAATACAGCAAATATTTAGAGTTCAAAAACCACAGGCACATTACTAACGCTCATCTGCTGGAGGCACTGGAGACCCGTGAGTGGGGGGTAAATGACATGAGTAAACCCAACTACTTGAATGGATTTGAGTGCTATGTGTGCGATCAGGAGAATGCACGATTAGCAGCAGAGCGAGCATATAGGAAAGCCCCCAAGAAAAATCCCCCTCCTGAGCCTAAAATGGCCAGTAACTCTCATGTGGGATGCCCACTGCCCAGACCGGGGTACGGAGACGTCCAAGATTTACCTGCAAACGATGGGTGAGTTCAGCTCAAATTATTCACTGTGCCAGGTGTGACCGCCGTCTATGTCCTCTGCTTTAATGTGAATAACAATGTCCCGAGGGAAAAGAAATCAGTCTGTTTTAATGGTCTAATTAAAATATCCTCCGCGATGAGTCTAATCTGTTTGTATATCTGTCCACAGATGGTTGCAAATATGGCCTCAGGATTACTGGCAGAGCCTCGACCAAGCGGAGGGGCTGGAGTCTCTGATAAGACATAACGAGTCAGACCCTTCTCTGCTGTGGAAGCACATCCAAAACATTGCTGTGAGCAGAGCCAGAGGAAAACACTGACACAGGCCTCGAAACAAACAGATGATGGAGCATGTCCAGGATTACAGGGGTGTCACATATTATGCATCCCCTCTGTTTAAATGAGGGAATGAAGCGGACATTACTCATATTTTTGCACCTGAGCCAAAACCTCTTTTACCCTTGTGAGTAGTTTAGTTATACTAGAACAGATTCGGATTTGTTATTCAGCTGACATGATACTTTTGTCACTATCCCAGGTCCAGTAATGGGAAAATAATGTTTTAGGGCGTTACATGCTAATATTTTCAACTTGTTTTATTGCCATAACTGAGGTGCCATTATTGCCTCTACTCCGCCTTGGTTTGTTAGCGTTAACTGCACACCGAGCAGTTATTCCAGAGAGGCACATTCTCATGGGATGCAGATTTTCATTGGACTGGGGCAGAGCCAAAGACTTGTCCTCTGTAGCAAGGCAGCTCTGCCTAACTGTGTGTGAAGACCATCAAGACAGTAGCCAGTGAACTGCATTAGCTTCTTTACAGTTACTCAGCAGGTAGCTGCTGGCTATCAGCTAAAGTCACATTTATGTAAACAGCTTTTCTAAGTGACTATGCAAGGAAAACATTTCACTAAGGAGTGGAGAAAGGCGAATGTAAAGTTGAGCACAACATCCCCGTGGAGGAAAATCTTCACTGTATTTGTAAAATAGTTCTCTGGAAGAACTGAGCTCTGAGTATTTGTGGTAGACACTTTAGAATATTGCCCTGACTATTTTCTGTTACATCCTGCAAAAATCATGTTTATGTGCAATAATTCCAACCATGCGTTTTCTAAAACTCCACGACGATCTTGTGTATCCACTAGCACACTACTTTTGTATTCCATGTTTGTACCAGGATTATAGAAATCACTTTATTTTGTTAACAAAGCATCATGTGAACACACTATTTTGTATCAAGAAGAAGCAAAAGAAGTAAACATTTTGTAACAAAGTCATTTTTTCTAACTCATAATATGTTCCCCACTTGCCAGTGTTAGTCTGTTCGGTTATGTACGTAGCACATTGCTTTGGACAGACATATCCTTCATAGTAAACGGAGGCAGATACAGCTTTCACCATCAAGAAAAGAAAAAAAAAACAACAACATAAGCTTGTATAACATGTTTGAGACATTAGAAATGTAACATAATGTATGTGTCAACATTAAGTAATCATATTCACTATGACCGTCTCTTTGATCACCTTAAACTATATTATTCCTAAGTTCAAACACGAACTCGGTCCAAACTTTGTGAAAGCGGAGTTCTCACTTTATATGTAAATGAACACGAAGGAAAGGGGACGAGGATAAGAGGCTGCTGAAGAGCTTCGATAATCAGTTGACTGTGGAGTAGCAGCTCTCGCAGTGGACTTTCCCACCGTGTATGAACATACTGTAGAGAAGGTCTCCCATAGGCTTACTGCACACATCACACTGAGAAACAGAAAGAGCGACATTAGAAAATGTAATCATGAGAAAATACAGTGAAGTGCACCTCTTGTGTTTAAAAATTCTTTTTTGTTTTAATGAATCCATAATTAAGAAGAGGATTATAGTTTGAAAGCACAGTTAAGTGGTTAAACCTTTCCTGCGTGGACTGGCACTGTGCTACAGCCAAACATGATTTGTATTTAAAGGTTTTTTTTAGATATTAAATGAATCATTCAACATTTTGAGAGTTGGATAAGAAGAGCAACACCATTCCCGTGTCAGTCACATCAAGTTATCTTAGTTTAGTGAAATCTGGCTCCGTCCAAAGGCTGCAAAAAAGATGCTGGCGCTCCTAAAACTCACCAGTTACCAGGCAACCGCTTCAGGGAGTCACTGCTGTTGGCTAATAGTCCACACAAATATATAAAGATGTAACGTGTTCAGTCTTTTTTATTAAGCTATCAAGCTGTCTGTGCTGTTGAACTTTGTCAACAACCAGCTGGTTCCCCTTATCTAAATTCTCTATTCCAATGCTTTATGTCAGATTTGTAATGGAGACATGAGAGTGATCTGCTCATCCAACTCTGACTTGAATATTTACCAACTTTTTTTTTTTTTTTTACAGTGAACAAAAGTGTACTTTCTCCATATTGTTTGAGAACATTTTTACAAGCCAAACAGATCTGCAGGGGAGTTGTATCTGAACAGACAGATGAATACCTTGAAGCAGGCGGGGTGGCAGTTGATGTTGAGGTGCTCGATGGTGATCTTGGCATCGTTGCCCACCTGCTCTCCGCAGTACGTACAGGTGGATGACAGCAGGGCGCTGCTGAGACACAGCGATTGAGACAAGTTAGGCTGACCGCTGACACAGGAGCAGCTCTTGTGCAACTGCAGCTCTGCGCAGCTAAATAACCTGTGATCTCTTTGGTCCTGCGTGAGGGAATTTAATAAGTGTAAATAATCCTTTGATGTCCCCGCTTAGCTTCCTAATGAGCAGGCTTGGTGGAATTTCTGCCCTGCTGCTTACACATATCTAGTTTTGTCAGAGCTGGAAATAGCGAAAGGGCTCTGGCTTATAGCTGGTTTAAAAGAGGTTTAGCGAATTGTGTTGTTGCCAGGGCTAAGTGGAGGGGCTGGTGTCAAATAATGTGACCCACTGTGGAAACAACCAGAAGGGACATCATTTTTGAAGGGAAAAGAAGCACGTGTTCAAGG